AGTAGCAACGCATACGTAAGATCAGGAGTAGGCGCTTGAATTTAATGATAGTAGTCAGTTGCGAATCTTTTGAGAAGACCAGTATCTAAAGTCACCTTAAAGTATTTGTTCTCACTTTCAAACTACTTAATTTTTAAGATTGTTTATTCTCAGTCGGCGTTCTGAAAATTTATATCAAACCCAGATACTAGCAAACATATTATTTTGTTAGTAACTAAGTTCTCCATGATAGCTCCTACTTAATACATTTTCGATGAAAATAGAAGATATAAGCTACTGCTGAATTGATATCAGTGACTTTTGAAATACTTATCTAAAGCTTCACTTGTTGAGCTGTGAAACCCAGGTGGTACTGAGCTTCGAAATTCTTTTATATATCAAATCATTTGAAGAATTTCAGAAGGAAATTTCAGCAGACAATAATGACGAATATAAATAAGATTAATGAGATAGAACACATAATACGGTACCGTTACCAAATGAGAATTAAGATTGAGGGTTGTTGATAAGAATAAAGCAGTATATTTGTTAAACACCAGTGAGTAAAAAAGTGATTTTACGATGTTCCAAGACTCAGTATGAGTCCTTTGTTCAGAGAATAAATAACCGAGTTAAATTAATATAAATTTAAATTATATAGAGAGACATAACAAAATATTTGGTACTGCTAAATAAGTTTAATTATGCTGATGTCATAATGTTCAGATCAGATGTGTGATATATACATATATATTCGCGAAAACCTGGGTGCGTATGACAAGAGTAATATATCTTGATGTGAAGGAACAGATCCAGTTTGTGCGTCGATGACATAAGATTTGAACAAACTAAGTATAATTGTTTAGAAAGATGGTTCAAGTAAGATGGATAACAACATCTTTTATATTGAGTGCAGTAGGGTTTAGGAACATATAAGGGAAGCTTCAGTTACTCGCCTAGTTTTATAGTTGGGAAAAGCTTTTAGAATTATTTTGATAGTTTAACTATCGACTTGATGGGTGATGGAAACAGACTAATGCAATCACTGATTTAATTTGTAGATCCTCGTTTTCCATAAGATTATTTGGTATCATGAGATATCATGAGAAGACTACAACATAGAAGAGATCGTAATCAAGACAGCCACTTCTATAGGGACAATTCTGTTTATACGTAGAAAGACTAAGACTAAAGCATCTCGAAAGTTGGTTGTTCTGTAGAATACTTTAATTTTGTTTAGTTTTAAGACTTGCGGCAATGTTTCTACCATACCATGGCGGTAAGGTAAGACTTATGAACAATCCATGGAATTTCATCTAATTAATTATCATAGTAAACTTATTACTATGTATATGCAAATTATTGAAATGCAAGATATTTATCATATTATTTTATTCCCTCTGCTTAATCTTCTTTGAGTGCAGTGATTTCAGTAATACTTCTGAATGTAAATGAAGTCAACATTATCAATATGAATGTGTAGGTTCAAAGTAGAAGGTCATAATTAAAGTTTCATTTAAATTTCTTTTAATTAAATAATTTAAAATAAGCAAGTTATTGTGTTCATTTTCACCTTCATGAAAAAAAAACTTGGTTTGAATTAGAAACTTATCTATCTATCTGTCTAAGAGAAATTCCTAAGAATTTCTTTTCAATAACGATTTATAATCTAATATTATTCGTAAACGTATATTGATTTCGTATAAGACATTAGTAAATTAACGACAATCGGAAACACAGGGAATCTCTTCAAGCTCTAAATAACTACACAAAATACTTGTAGAATATAGATACTATTTTATATGGATTTTTATTACCAGAATGGGTTTAAGTTAAGCGCCTGGCACGAGACCGATAGGTCCTGGGTTCGAATCTCGCGGGGGGCGGGATCGTGGATGCACACTGCTGAGGAGTCCCATACTAGGACGAAACGGCCGTCCAGTGGTTCCAGGTTTTCCATGGTGGTCTAGCCTCAATCGATTCATGATTTCAACCAGTGAAATTATATGGATTTATTCATTAATTTATATAAGTAGCAATTTAACAACAAGAATTTCAGCAAGTTGATTTATTCGATAACCAATTTTTCTTTAAAAAAAAATAGATGTTAGGAAAGAAAACAAAGCACTTTTAATCAAAGCATTTATAGTTGAATACATTGAAATTTGTTATTTAATTATATAGAGATATATGAATAAATAACTTTTATTCAAAGTAAGAACAGCAGATATTCGTTAATGAATGAACCCACATTTTATCTTGAAAAAAAAGAAATTGTTTCTATCCGTTGTTGTTAAGCTGACCAAATGATTTATGAACATGGAAATGTCTTGAAAGGTTTATGTTAACCGTATATATATACATATATACACGCGTCAGACAAATAAATCTCTATGTGAGATATTAATGACAAGAAATATAATGGGAAAAATAGTATTTCATTTTGTATAAATGTATTTATTTAACACAAATAAGGGTGTAAATATCTTAATCATAAAAGCCGAATATCATTTTTGTGTACAATAGATCATGTCATCAGTATAGATCTAAATAGATTTTGTCACATGGAAATTTCATTCGTTTTTTTTTTGTAATTGTGAAGTTTTCCTTTTTTTTATATTTTAACTGACAACTATTCAGAACCACTGTTTTCATTATTATTATTATGTATATCACCACAATTTCGAGTGTTATTGGGAAATTCGGTGTTATTATAAATTTAGTTGAGTTTATTTAACACTTTTTTGAATTGGAAAATATTATGGATGGAAGTGTCCTTTACACTGATATGAATAAAACTTTTCAACCCTTGTCCCTAAATGCTCTGGTACTGTTGAGAGTTGGGAGAGTCAACTCTCCCTCTCGAAATGTTCTCAAATGGCTACGTGCATACAACCACTGCCAGGGAAGTCCTACTCAATGCTTTCTCGTGGTAGGGGTTTCGATTACGAAATTGAGAGGACGAAATGCGAATGTCCAGAGCTTTGTCCGGGTTGATGGATATGGAGGATCCACCTAAGGGAGTTGGAAAACTCTGAGATCCAGGATCCTGAAGGAAACAAATGGCATATGAACCTATTGTTGTTCACCGGCTACCATGGGACTGCATCACCTGAAGTTGTTCCACTGCCTTTTGGATTAGACTTTTAGGTCAAAGGCTCGGGGTATGAACCCCCAAGAAAGCCATTTGCTTCGGTTTGGGCACCCGGGTAGTTTCCCAGCCCTCAAATAAATTGAATAAATAAATAAAATAAATTTCAACCCCTAGTATTTTTCAATATATTTTTTTCAAACCAATTTCAGTCCAAGGGAAAAAAAATGTATCCAAATACATTTTGCCTTGAATTAACTATCACTGTTTATAATTATGGTTCATATTCTGTTTAACAGTTGATATGGGAGTATGGGTAGTTGATACATACAATAAAATTTGATTTGTTTATCAATAAAAATATGGAATTTACCATACTATGAAAACAATCATTATTTAAGTATCATCCATTATACAGTATTACTTTTATCATTCAATTCTAATCAGAAAACAAATCTTCTTTGTATTTTTTTATAACTCTTATATTCTTTCTCTAAAAGAAACATAACCAAGAGACTGGATGATAATATACACTCTAGATCTTCATTAGTCTGACTAGTAGAAGAATGATCAGTTTATCATTTTTAATTCCGTGAACGGATTTATTTTCTTTTAATTGTTGAACTCATGAGTCAACCTAGCTAGACCACTATTGAAAACTTAAAAACATAGGATGGCCTTTTCTTCCAAGTATGGGACTCGTCAGGAGTGTGCATTCACAATTATGCATGTGGGGTCGTGGATGAAAATTAACTTGGAGCCCAAAAAATACCACCACAAATCGTTTCAACAACAAATAACGTAGTTTTTAAGCAAAAACTTCAGAAAGATCCTCGTGAAGACATCTTGTTCTACCAACCGTAGAGATACGGAAAATTATATCCAGTGGAATATCGATGAAAAAAACTCTTTTCCAATTATACAGACACTTAAAGTATTATTTGCTTAGTTAAAATCACACATATTTTGACTTGAGATAGATAAAAGTTTTAATATCGATACAGGCGCTGGTGTGGGTTCATTTTCGTCAAAATATAGCACTCATTATACCGGAAAAAAGGAGTTTGAGCTGCAAATGTGAGAAGATCTACCTTCGTTGACTCAGCCACTGAGATCTTTACGAGTGATTTGTGATTTACGATCTTCTAATTGGTAGTCGATTAATTTACGTGAAACCACTCGTTCAAATCTTGACGAATATTTATCGAGTATACAATTATTATTATCAATGGCTGTACACCAGGAATTCGAAAACGGATTCATTTTAAGGTTTCTTCGTGTAATACCTTAAGGTAATTATGAACATTGAATGATGCCAAATAACATATGATTGGTAACCTGTGGGAAATGTTAACTTTAGTAAGTAACATTTTCTCTATGCGAAATTCTTCATTCGGAACATATTACAGTTTATTGAGACCTTTTTTTATCAAGAAAAAGCTAAATTTATTATTCGAACTTCTAAGGTAGTAATTGATAAGCAAAATGATTAGGAATTAAGTAAAACAGTGTTCTAAATAGCTGAAGGAATAATAAATGCCTTTTTGTTACCACATACCTCATTGAGTTTCGTTAGGCAGAGACTTAAATATCCTGTATTCGTCTGAGATAAAACCTTGTTCTTACAAAATGATACCATTGTTCATCTCCCAGTTAGTTAACGAATTCAGTTACTTCATTTAAATTATAGCAATCTTATTGAGCACATTTTTAAATCTCTCTATCCATTGTAGTAAAAGATTGGAATTTTGGTATTTAACCCCCTACTTTAAATATGATTTTGTTTGCTCTAAATCCTTAAAAGGTGGATTAAAATAATTACATTTCACTACAGATTCGTGTTATACGGAAGGTGGTAATATAGAGTAGTTGTATCATTATTTCTACATTCATTTTATTTCTTTTTCATATCTAATTCATCATTAACTAGCTCCTCAATGTGCTGGATGCAAACAATTGGTAATGGATCGAACTATTCTACAAGTTCTTAATCAGAGTTGGCACGTAAACTGTTTGAAATGTATGGATTGTGGTACTTCATTATCAGAGAAATGTTTTGTACGAACAGATGAACTGTACTGTAAAGAAGACTTTTTTCGGTAAGTTAGCGATTATATATATATATTTGTTATTCATATGAAAACTATCTACATTTAGAAATACATTTTTAGGTTATCCATACATCAATCAAACGAACGAATACGTGATAGTTATCTTTAATGAATTACCATCGAGTGGATTACACCATAATGTTGATTCATTCAGATTAGTAATTATACACTAAAAAAGTCGACCCAATATTGATTTATCCAGTATTGATAACCACATAATATTATTCCACTACTGAATATCATTTTCTTTTGTAAACTAAATACCTTTTTAATAGCTAAGATCAGGAGTCAACTGAAGCTAGACCACTGTGGAAAACCTGGAAGCACTGGACGACCGTTTCGTCTGTAAATCACTGATGACAATGGTGGATGTGTCACTCAATCTCATCGATTAGTTAAAGTTAGACATTAACAACGTTGGATGCCGGCCTAGTGGTCTAATCCTTAAGCGCTCGCGCGCGAGATCGATAGATCTCGGGATGCGCACTGCTGAGGAATCCCACAATAGGACGAAACGGCTGACCGGTGCTTACAGGTTTTCCATGGTGATCTAGCTTCAATTGACTCATGATCTTAACTATTGAAATTAACATAATATTCACCAAACCCCTTGCTTTATCAAATAAAATTTACTTATCATATACATTAACAACTACATGAAGAAATGTTAAACAGAGTTTTTTCAAAAAAAGGCACTTAATTCAAAAAAGAATTAATATTAATACGAATATTCATCAAGATCAGGACGAATAGTTTGACAATGATTGGGCACCGAGTATAGAGAAGTCATTATATGTGAAAATTATATTTGAATTAATTTCAGTGATTGAAATTTAAAATAATTCCAACGTTTCGTCCAGTAAACTTGTCTGAACTTCTTCAGGATAATAATCAATCAGGATTATTACCCTCAGTGAATGAATATTAATGCTCCCTTTTTTTCTCTTCTATAATCGATTATTTGTCAGTTGTGTTAGTATAGTAGAATTTGCAACAACAACAACAACAACAACAAAAATTGTAGGTTTAATCAGTCACAATTATTTATTAGCTATTTTCAATTGTCAATTAAAGTAAATTACACTTATTTAAATATGTCTGTGTATATCATTTTTATTATGTGAATGTAAAATAAATCATTTTAAAACAAGTAGATAAATGATATGAACATTGTACTTCATACTTAAACATTATTATTAGTAGTATTGTTATTAACATTTCTTTCATTTTTGTACACTACCACTACCACTATTACTACTATTACTACTACTAATAATAATGATATATGAAGAGGGAACTAAAAATGAAATAGGAATATTTACACTGAAAATAGAAATAAATAGTTTTATCAATTTGTAGGCATAATTCATTTACTCCTCAACATCTATTCGAACATTAACTAAATTGGGATTATATTCTTTGAGGTGTTTTTTAGTGTTATTATTGTTCAGAGATATATATATTTTTTTTCTAATTAACTAAATGGTGTTTATCCATTAGATTGAAAAAGAAAGGAATGGGTTTGTTTTGTTTGTTTGTTTTGTGTGTGTGTGTGTGAACATTTTTCATTCATTAATTTTTCTCGAATTTTTACTTCATTCTTTTATTTATTTATCTATCAACAACCCCCTTTCATTGGAGATTTCAGTCTTCACTTAACTGACTATTCGTTAATTATACCGGCCTCCCCCTTCCCTCTTTCCCTCCCTCTCTCATCGATAAATACAGACACACATGTAGATTATTTTGTTAGAATAAGATAGAAATTTCAGTAGTTTGTTTTCTTGACAGATAAACGCGACATTTTATTCATGCTCATTGTATTTATTATCGATATTATTATTAGTATTATTCATATTTGTTATTATTGTGGTGAAAAAAAAGAAGAAGAAAACAATTCCAGACTAAATAAGGTGTCATGAAATATATTAGATACAAGTTGTCTGTTATTTTTATAATTTTGGCATGAATAGAAAGCTTATTGATAATCTCTTACAATACAAACTAATTCAAATAAGGTGAGTTTTCTCATGTTTCTCATGTCAATATAAGAATATTAAAAATAATAATGAGAAAAAGTTAATAAGTTAATGTATTCTAGGCCTTAAATTCTAAGATAGATTAGATTAATCCATATACATTATTAACCTTTATTCACGTGTTCATTTTATGATAAAAACATTTTGCCTTGTTGTCTTATAACACATATTGCTGTATATATTTTTTTCCTTTATGTATAATAATTACTATTTAAATGGTTTAGGGTCATATTCAGTTAGTTAATAATGATCTTGATTACACACACTATTGTAAGATTCATTGAATCTACAATTATAGAAACAAATATTATGCAATGAAATTGAGAAAAAAAAATCATATTTTCTGAAAAAATAAATTAATTTACAGATTAATAATGATTAGTAATTAGACGGATACTTTTAAATCGATCAATCAAATTTTCCTGATAATCAGCTTAATTTCAGTTTTTCTTCGAATTCAATACCGTAGGAGATAAATATCATCAGTATGTGGTCGTGGAGATTGTTAAGTTTTTGATTGAAATTATGAATCAGTCTAGTCATGTTCTCTACAAACTTGAGGTTTATCATTTATAGAATTCATGATTATCCCCAAAGCATGTTGATAAATATCAGTTTCATAGGACAAGTCAGTATAGTAAACACATTATCAAGTTGTCTTGGAAGCAAAAATGTTTCGATATATTAAAGTTTCTTTTTCTTGAATCGAATTAACTCCAAGTGCTTGTTCCTGTTATAGAATAGTCATCAAGCACTTCTTCTTTGAATAGCATTTCATTGAACCGTTTATCTATGATCAACAGAAATGAACTATAACATTTATGCAAGCCAGAAGTAAAAAAGACTATATTTAACCATGATCTTGGTAAAACAACTAACATAAATGGTAACTTTTCCTTTATATTACTCATTAATCAAAGCAGATATCTATTTGTAAGTATATAAATGATATTAATTTTCTTTAATTAATTATTTAGTCGCTTTGGAACAAAATGTGCAGGTTGTGATAAAGGTATTCCACCAATGGAAGTTGTTCGGACAGCTCAAGAAAATGTATATCACTTAGATTGTTTTTCATGTGTCAGCTGTGCTCGTATGTTAAATACAGGCGATGAATTCTATCTATTACGTGATCGAAAACTAATGTGCAAGTCAGATTTTGAAACTGCTAAAGCTCGAGGTAAAAATATTTTTGATAAAAATCTAAAAATAATAAAATAATTTCAGGTAAAAAATTTTAATAGTTGAGATCATGAGTCAATCAAAGCTAGACCACCATGGAAAACCTAGAAGCAAATGCTCACTAGTGACTGGCTTCAAGAGGTATTTCCTGGAGTTCTAGTGAGAAGCAGTGAGCAGTAGAGTTCAACCGGGTCTGTTGTGAGATAGTAATTCACAGAAGAAAATGGTGGGTGTGTCACTCAATTTCGTCGATTAGTTGAAGTTAGACATTGAAACTGTTGGATGCCAGCCGGATCAGTGGTCTAGTGGTTAAGCGTTCGTGCGATGGACTAATAGATCCTGGGTCCGGATCTCGTGAGGCGGGACTGTGGATGCACACTGCTGAGGAATCCCACAATAGAACGAAACGGCCATCCAGTGCTTCCAGGTTTTCCATGGTGGTCTAGCTTCAGTTGACTCATGATCTCAACTATTGAAATTAACATAATATACACAAAAACCCCTTCTGCTAAAAAAATTTTTGTAGTAATTTATCTATATGAAGATACTTCTAATGGTTTGTTACGATGGTACTCATGGACAGTTAGGTAATTAGGCTTATACTTTTAAAAAAGTCAGATTACATCCATGTTGTGGATTTCTAATTTCTTATACTGTCAGAAAAGTTTATTTAACCATATGTTCTTCGTTTAGTCTTAATCTGGTATTTTTATGTTTCATCATCCCATACTAGGACGAAATGGCCGTCCAGTGCTTCCAGGTATTCCAAGGTGGTCTAGCTTCAATTGACCCATGAATTCAACTATTAAATTATATTATTTTCTTGATAAATTTACACCCTTCTGAATCATGGATAACGTCATGCATTAAATATAGGGGTATGGTATTTGAAATCAACTTCTGAGATGGTGGAGAGAATTCATAGTTCAGGTGGATGATTTTGCTGGAGTTTTATTCTTTGGGTGGATGGTTTAGTCTTGGAGCTTTCATCGTTCTTCTGAACGACATCATCACCACAAACTTCAGATAGAAGACCAAACCATTCATCTCAGAGAACAAAATTCCATGGAGATTAACTTCTACCAAACTTAACTTGTGAATTGTATTTACAGGAAATGCAATGACTTCATTGTAATATTTAAAAAAATGTGCATATGTATTTATATTACCATTTGATCCCTTTGAATTATAAATATACTTAACTAAGTAAATGAATTACATTACATCTATATTTTTTAGAAGCAGAATTAGACAATGCTAATAAACGTCCTAGAACAACTATTTCAGCTAAACAACTGGAAGCACTTAAAAGAGTCTATGGTGAAAGTCCAAAACCGGTACGTCATATCAGAGAACAACTTAGTGAAGAGACTGGTTTAGATATGCGTGTAGTACAAGTATGGTTTCAAAATCGTAGGTAAGTTTAAATATTTATTAAAATTACTAACTTCAGATGATATCAAAAATCGAAAACTCAAATACCGAGTGAAAAATACTTAGGTTATTAGAAATATTATGTATAGATGTATTTCATTTATTCAAGGTAAATATATATGTCAAAACTACAATAAAATAAAAACTCCTGAATGATCATATTGCCAATGATAATGATGATGGTTATTTCAACGAGAGACCTGATGTATATATGTAATTACTAATTTTTCAGGGATCTCGTAGAATAAAAGATAATCATTACCTTAAGTTCAAAGCTAAGAAGCGCACAGCACGAAATCAATTACATATTAATGTAAACATACTGGGGTTCAGTAACCGTTGGAATAGCTCAATGGTAACTTATTTAATTATGTCAATAAGTCATGTTAGTTCAAACCTATAAAAAATTACCATTCCCCTTAAGACTGCAAATACATTTCACTCTTAAATAGTAGAAAGAAAATGTTGACTAAGGGATTTCTGTTTGCTGATTTCAACCGATCAATATCGAAAAAGTGCATTATCACTTAGCCTACATTTCCAACTGAGAGATACAGCTCTATCATTCTTAAAATCTACATAATTTAAAACCATGGTCCACATAGTAAGTAATTAGTATAGACAAGATTAATTGTGATGGTTTAGTCTTACTGGATATGGAGCTGAATATCTAATGTGGCGCTTACCTAATCTCTACCAATACTAACTTCATACTGACTAAAATGAATATAAGATGTTATGTTGAATAAGCATTAAATTGAATAACTTCGTCTTTACAGTAAGTATAAACGTGGTACATAAATGTAGTAAATATATATATATATATGATGTGCATAAGAAGTGAAAAAAAGATTTGGGAAAATCATTCATTTTTTACGTTGCTTTTCTATCAATTTCATTTTTCACTTAAAACCACCTTCATTTTTACACCAACCACTGGTTAAATAAAAAAAGTACACAGAGTATTCACATCCGTCTATCTATCTATCTGTCTATCGTATTTATTTTACTGTCTATTTATTTTTAGTTCTATCTCCCTTTCTCTTTTCTTTTCTCTCCATTCTCTCTCTCTCTCTCTACTTCTATCATCATTCTAAATTTCATTTATGTGTATGTGTACGTAATAAGAAAATACAAAATATTCCCCAAGGTAAAAAAAAGAGAAGAGAAGCATTTCTGGTTGATGAAAAATAAATATTTATTTCTACTGTGGTTGTTGTATTGCTTTTTTTTATTGGCTTTTGAATGGATGATGATGATGATGATGAGTGAATGGATTTCCAAAATTCATTCATTCATTCATGCATAGATTTTACATTTCCACTGGAATGCATAATTCATCATATAACCACCCTTGCAAAAAATATTAAAAAAAAGAAAAACTACTTTAAAGAATTTTTAGTTATGCATGGGGTTTTCGTTTTTCTCTGTCCATTTTTCACTTATTCACATATTCAATTGTGTGCGTGTGAATTCTATTTCTCTTTTCTTTTTCTTTTTCTTTTTCATTATCTACTCCAGCATATATAAATGTATATTAAGTCCTCTGTACTGTTATCGAATTATATATTTTATTTGGCTGATTATAAATAGACTTGAAAAAGTTCTTCATCTTTTACTCTGAAAAGATATTCACTTATTCCCTCAAGAGTTATATATATATATATAGCAGTACATAGGAACTAATGTAAGAGATAGATTGTATAATAATATCTAAATTTTATATGCCAAGAAGTTTAATTATTCTAAAAAAAGGAAAGGACAATTTCACTGAGTATAACAAATCATTGTACAATTGATGAGTTCAGTATGTATTATGAATGAAAGCAGAATAGATTACTATTGTGAGTAGTTTAAACTGGTAGATGAATATTAATTTCATTATATTTGATGTATTTATGGGGGGGGGAAATGAGGAAGATTCAGTGGTTTAATTTTATAAATGACTGATATAAGTGATATACATATATATTTAATATAAAGTAATATATAAATAAAATAGAAAAGTGACTAAAAGAGTTTAGATAGAAATGAAATTTTTATCATTACTGACGAAATGATTTACAGTCAATATAATCAACATTAACTTCTGATAACTTTATTAAGTGTTTTCAAACAACGGATTTGATATTATATCTTCTACGGTAGTGGAATGGAGGACGCGTGTTTCATCCTATTTGGGACTCGTCAGCTAGATGTACCTGCATCTCAGTTTTGATGTTCACTCTGAAACTTGAACCTAGTACCGTTCGCTTGAAACGTCATCGCGTTATCCACTTAGTTACTGAGTCTTGATAGCCAATAACAATGGGAAGATACAAGTAAACAAGCACAAGCAGGTGGCTATCAGGACTCAGTAGCCAAATGGATAACGCGATGGCGTTTGAAGAAAATTATACTGGGTTCGAGTCACAGAGTGAACATCAACTCTGACATTCAGGCACATCCAGCTGACGAGCCCCAAACAGGATGAAACGCGCGTCCTCCATTCCACCGCTAGTCATTACCAATCTTTGCTTATAAGGCTTGTGACTTCAGGCAATATCGAGGCAGTTCGCACAGAATTCACATATGCCAACAAGAGACTGATTAATTGTAGTCGTAATTAACAATGGGAAGATACAAGTGAAATAACACCAAGTAAATATAAGTTTTGTATTCATTGGGATTAGTTTCCAATGAACACTTTGAGTTCACTAGTTAAAATCCTAATATACTTCTTTTCTTTCTTTTGATCCTAATTGTCATTTACATATTTGATAACTGGTTCAGCTTCATGACCAGTTAGATGGATTATATAATCTATACAAAAATAAAATCAATACAATTCATGACCTCAATCGAAAACTTAACAATCTCCATAATCCCTTACTGATAATTACCATCGGCTCACTAGTGACTAGCTTCGTGAGGGAATTCTTCGGGTTCTAGTGAGAGTCCGTGACCAGTGGAGTTAATCCATGTCAGGTAAAGACAGGTATCTACCTCAGACAATGGAAGATAGTCGCATAATTTCGTGGATTGTTTGAAGTTGAAAATTATCTACGTTGGATGCCGGATCAGTGGTCTAGAGATTAAGTGTTTGCGCGCGAGATTGAAGGTCTTGGGTTCAAGTCGCGTGTGTGGGATCGTGGATGCGCACTGCTGAGGAGTCCGATACTGGAACGAACCGGCTGCTCAGTGCCTCCACGCTTTTGATGGTGGTCTATCATTGATCGACTCATGATCTCAATCAAAGACTTGACGAGCCCCAAAACCCTCTACTGATCAATACAACTTTACCTCGATCTTGATAGATAAAGCTTCTTAGCTTATACTTACAGTAATTAAGGCTTTTTAATGTAAGATAAAGTCAGAATATATGATGTATTGACAATCTTTTGTTTGAATAATGTGTAAACATTAAAACTAATTGGCTAAATTAATTTCAAGATTAAATGTTTTTGCATTTTATTTATTTAGGGCAAAAGAGAAAAGATTAAAAAAAGATGCTGGAAGGAATATCTGGTCAATTTCTGACTCTTTATTAATCAGTAGTGCAAATACAAGTACTAATAGTAATACACCTGTTTGTATGAACGAACCATACTTATTTTCAACATGTTCAAATGATTTAGATAAAAGTTCTGCACCATACTGCGGTGATAATTCAATTATATTAGATGATTCAACTAGTGGAGATGAATATCTATCTAAGGATGAATTTCAGGGTTCTGGTTCAAGTAAGTCTACTTTCACTTATACTCAAGTTTTTGAATTTAAGTGATGAAATAGTAAGATAGAAGTAAAATACCTTAGTAATTCTATCTAGTGTCTAGCTATCTACAATCTTCAACGGATTTTATTCTTATCCATCAATAGGACACAGTTTAGATAATTATTAGAAATGTTTGTTACTCACTGAGTGTTTTCATTTAATAAGGAAACAATTTGAAGATGTTAAGTAATTCATCAGCAGTAACTATGTACAAATGTTATGTGTTTTCGAGATTTATAAGATTATCCTTGATAAGTTAAAAAAGATATAGTATAACCAAATGGTTCACTTTATGGAACTGTCCTTGAAGAAACTTTTGAAGTAATAATGAATTTCTACCACATTCTTTCTTTTAACATCATTTGATTTATAATAATGATATCTTCCTATTCTTATAGTTACATTAATTATTGTCCGTATGATAGCATAATTCGATCATTTAAAATAAATTAACAAGTCAATGACAAGGAAATAAAATATCATCATTCTACAGTATCGGTAGTTGAAGTTGATATCTATTCGTTCGCAATGTGATTTATGCTGAGGAGTCCCACAATAGAATGAAACGGCCATTCAGTGCTTCCAGGTTTTCCATGGTAGTCTAGCTTCAATTGACTTATGATCCCAACTATTGAAATTAAAATGACCTTTTTTACACTTGTCAACTTGAAAAAATTGTGGGTTTTTGACAGAAGAATTAATTGTTCTTTACATCTTTACTAATATTCTAAAGCTAGTTTAGTAAATGTAGCATCGTAATCTCTGCTAAGATAAGAATGAATTCTACTCTTTGTATAACTTCGGTGTGTGTTACTTAAGCAGTATATAACGCTAGTCAGGAATAGAATGTTTGGAAGCTGAAGGTTAAGAAGATCGAAGAAAATATAACGAGAACAGAGAATGATTGATGTGGAAACGAAAGAGCAACAAAGTCTGAGACAATTGACTGATAATTTTAAAATGAAGTATTTACTGTATGGTTCTTAGATTTTACTAAGAAATTCGGTAATTTTGCGTTCAAATACATTCGATTGTCCCCACTTGTATTTTCGTTCACTACATAACTACACTAGATCAGTAACAAGTGGTTTCAATCGAAGATTTATTAGTTTCAAGTGAGGTCTTAGAAAAGTAACAGAGATAAAGTTTTATTGGATAGATTTTATGATCCCATATTAGATTACAAATGTTTCAGTTGGTTTATGAAATAACTTTAATATAGGGGTTATAGGTTTACGAATTCACAGAATCATTGACTTCCAATTCAAACACTCCATATTTGTAATCTTTTTGCAAACTATTAAGTAGTTAGCTTTTGGAGATATTTATAACAATTGGATTAAGTTAATATTCGAAAAGTAACTTATGATAACAATTTTCAGTAAAAACTCTAGTGGTATTTAGATGCGGAGTTCTTGATTCCGATGAGTGTTACTTTGGTAGCCTATACTGTTTGACTTGATTCTTCCCTTATTTTGATATAAAATGGTGTCAGATTGAAAATACTCGTTATTGTGTCACTATCAGTGACGCAAACACCAGAATTTAGGAATTACCATGAAGATGTTCTCTGTTTCCATGTTGAGACTTTCTTTGGAGTAAGAAAAAGAACTTTCAGTCTATGAAGTATTCTTAAAACTATTTTTTCGTAATTCTTTACTTACATTTTGCTCATGTTTCATAATATAAAAATGTAAATTTCCATCCCCAGGTGATACAGACAGCAACTGTTCAGAGGAACCTGAAGATTTGAATCAGTCTTTAAATTTCTCCGTTGTATGCGATCCTATACATTCGAAGCATACTACAGATATACCAACCACTGAAAAGTTATCATTAAATAAAGATGAATTCCTAACTCATGACAATAAATCTGCAATTTTTCAGGCATTTTCAAAGTCTACTTTATACGAGAACCATTCAGCTCACGATTTAGTTTCAACAAAAGCAGAACAAGTACATGATGTAAAGTTCCATGGTTATACTCAAACATGGTTATCCACTCCACGGCCTCTTCAAAATCAAGGCTTTTCAATTGACAATCAGTCGTTCAAACCAGATAATGATAATATTATCTTAAAACACAGTATAGAAAATATCAGTATTTTAAATGAATCAGACAATAAAAATCATAACATTTTACGTTTTGCATCAAATCCATTTGTTTCAAGTTGCATTAGCTTGAATAAGCAAGTTGTATCTAACAGTGAATTGTCAACAAAAGAAACATATTTACAGCCTGTTGACTTCTATCCTTATTGTCTAAATGCAAGCAGTCTTTCACAATACGGTATTCCACAATCAAGTTCATCATAAATAATCCTGCTTAAAAATTAACCCAATAATAATGGTATACCATCACACAAAATGATGTGATTCATACGATCCTCTTGTAGTTATCAGAATATATTACGGCAAACATTTTGCTTATCATTTACAAAACTAATAACAGATTATGGACATAAAAAATACAATGGTACTGAAAATCTTTTTTTTTTTCAGTAGTATTTAACAAAATGAAATTCATTATCTGAATTCAGAATTTTTGGCATATTCATGATGTATTTCACTCATCTTTGTGTTAACATCTATGCTACTTATCTCTAAACATATTTCATTTTGTTGGGCAATATTATTCAATTTGTTCTATTGTATAAGTATTGCTTTTAAAGAAAGACTATCCAGTTAGTTCATCATGTATCTACATCACTTTAGATTATTATTATTATTATTTAATTTGGATTCAATAACTAAACGTCACTTGTAAACGTCACTTGTTTTACAATGAATCCAAATTATGAATAAGACACTTTCATTTCAATTTAGTCCTTCTAAAACGCATGAGATAAGGTTCACACTTAAAATTCAGTTAACTTTATCTATTCAATTTTTTATTTGTACTTTAAAGTAATTTATTAGAACTTTCTTATTATTGTATCTTTAAAGTCAAGTGTGTTTACTATTTGATAAGTTAACAATAAGATGGTTATCTTTTGGCGATGAAAAAAAACATTTAAAGTGAACAGAATCTCATTAGTTACAAGATTACGTTTCTTTTTCTAATAGAATTTGTATGGTTTGACTGTTAACTACCATTCGATTGACATTAATTTATGATTAATTCTATTTTCATGTCATACAGTTCTCAATAATAAGAAAATTCTATTCCCCGAACTAGTCAAGTTTGCTTTATTTTTTGGGGGTTGGGGTGGGGTGGGGTGGGGTGGATCTTTAATGCCTTATTTTCATTTATCACTAAGAATCCCACAATTTTTATTATGTTTATCATTCAAATGTTATAGATACTCTAGTAAGTAACTAAGGTGAAAATAATCGATTTAATAAAACCCTGATTAAAGTGCACAAATCATTAAAGTGACTTCTTTGTTGGATGTTTCAAGATAAGAGACTTTCTATAGTTTCAAAGGGAAATTAAGAATCATGAGAATGATGAACACAAACTTATATGGAATATTTTTTGGGATGAAGTGTAGTGCACTAAAAAGCTTTTGTATAGTAAATTTTGACGATCAGATTACATATAAATGGTTTGCTAGTGATATGATTCATACAATCATTGGTATAGGGTTGTAGAGATTATTAAGTTTTTAGTTGAGATCATGAACCGATTGATGTTAGACTACCATTGAGAACCTGGGAGCACTGAACAGCCGTTTCGTCCTATTATGAGATTCCTCAGCAGTGCTCATACATGATCCAGCATGCAGGATTCGAACACGTAACCTTTGATCACACGCGCGAACACTTAATCTCTAGACCACTGAGTCGGCATCCAACGTTGTTAATGTCTAACCTCAACCAATCCACGAAATTGCACGACCATCTTCCATTGTACCAAGGTAGATACCTGTCCCTACCTGACTCGGTTTAACACCATTGGATGCCGACTTGGTGGTTTAGAGGTTGAGTGTTTGATTATCAATCTTATAGTTTCATTCAACCTGTAAACCTATTTAAGTAACCACCGTAAGACTAGTCATTTCAGCGCTAACAATTTTATACTATGTTACCAACATTCTTAAATTTAAACGTTCTAATTATAAAAGATGTATTTGGCTAAGAATTGACTAAGTTATTGAAAATAATATCCTTTGTTCATAATTCTGCTTCCTTTTTTTAGACTTCCCATGTTGAATAGAAATGCATGAATAATTTATCAGTTTCACTGTAATAGAAAGCAAGAACATATATACAATAATGTAAAGGCTTATTTGATTAAAAGTTTATAAATCATAAGAGTTCAACTGAATATTCCTTACTCAGAATTAAACAAACAGCAGTAATTCACAATGTTCAATGAAAATTCAAAGTTTGAAACTAAGAAACAATTACATAACTCTATGGATTATAATTTACAATAATCTTGTACACTATCATTATGCTTAAAATATAACTGACTGAAGAAAACATACTCCGTAAATAAAAAAACAAACAAACGACTCATCCGAAGCACTTAACATTTAACTTAATGGCATGATCATTTGACTGAAAATAAGATATTAGTAACTTGATATTCTCCTTACCATATCAAGAACTATACGGATAAATTCCGAAGAAAACCTACAAAATTTAGTAGTTTTACTCAGTAATTAAGATTTAATACAAAGATAGGATGTTAAATGCAATTAAACTTCAAGTTTGTTAAAAGTTATTTGTATGTGTCTGTGGTAAATAACATAAATCATCTTCTTGTAAGTGATAAATACTAATGGTGAAAACTTAACATGTAATTCTGAATAGAAGTAAAGTGCACAATTTGTGAAGTGAGTAAACATTAACAGATTATGATTTTTATTGACTTTAACAAATTTGAATAAAAAAAAACTTCTAATGATATTAAAAACTTACTTACGCCTGTTACTTCTCGTGGAGGAGCATAGGCCACTCACCAGCATTTTTCATCCAACCCTGTTTTGGGCAATCCTTTCCATATCTGCTTCTATTTCTCGACGTAATCTGTTCTTTGGCCTTCCTCTTTTCCGTTTACCTTCAGGATTCCGAGTTAGGGATTGCCTCGTGATGCAGTTTGATGATTTGCGTAAATAGATTACAATAAATATCGATAGTGAAAATAAAATGGTTACAGAAAAAGTGAAAGGAAATTTATAACTGAACTAAAACTCATCATTATCAATTATCGTAAAACCGAACTCATAAATTTAATCTTGATTGAAAAGCTCATGAAACAGCTAAGGTTATTGTGATAAATAAAATATGCAGAATTAATTCACTTCATTCTCTTACATCGAATTAAATTCAAGGTTAATTACAAACCACTTTCTTATCATCTTTACTTTGAATATCACTTGATCTAAGTATATGAAATACCTTAATCATATCTGCTTTCAGTAGAAAAAGATTTTAGATAAGCGGTAGTCAACTTCAGTAAACTATATGATTGGACATTTTGAAGTGGAAAATTACTTTATGTTATATTTTACTTGTTGAGTTAAAGTTAATGTCTTCATGTTTATGAAATGTTAAAAAGAATTTTATTGACATCACAAGATAATTTAGATGCTGCATAACAAAATTAAGTAAGTTAATTAAGAAAAACTATATATATATATATATGTAATATCTACATTCAGACAAGGGTTTTGTGGAGATTGTAGATTGCTAGGTCCTGGGTTCAAATATCGCGGGGCAGCATCGTGGATGAGTACTGATGAGGAGTCCCACAGTAGGAAGAAACGGCCGTCCAGTGCTTCTAGGTTTTCCATGGTGACCTAGCTTCAATTAACTCATGAATTCAATTATTAAATTAATATCTGTATAGTTTATTTTATTGTTATTAAATAGATTAGTTACCTTAAAAGTAGTTTCCTAAAAGTTTATTATATAACTGTACTAAAAACACTGATTACTCTAAATTAAATCATTCATTTCATCCAAAAATAATTGAAGTTATGATCAAAGAAAAAAGTTTTATCTGTGATGTTCTTTACAGTTGAAAACATATTATATTGACGTTTTATGACAATCTTGTAGTGTAAGGTGGCGCAATCTCGTGGATTGGTTGAAGTTGGACATTAACACTATTGGATGCCGGCTCAAGGGTCTAATGGTTAAGTGCTCGCGCGCGAGACTGATAGATCCTGGGTTCGAATTTCGCAAGGCGGGATCGTGGATGCGCACTGCTGAAGAGTCCCACAATATGGCGAAGCGGTCGTCCAGTGCTTCCAGGTTTTTCACGGTGGTCTAGCTTCAATTGATCCATGATTTCAATTAGTGGAATTTCTAAAATCTCCACAAAACCCCGTCTGATAATATTGTAGTTGTTATATAGCTTCAAAATTTCAATAATTTGTTACACGGACATTGTAAACCATTGTTTGATTGAGAAAAAAAACATTTGAGGATTCGCTTTTATATCTGTGAAACTATTTGTAAACGTTCACCAACATATACTATTGTAAGAATGTGACCAAAAATTATATGAAGTTAACTTGGTTTGAAGTATTCAGTCAACGTGTACACATCAAGTACAAAGTTCATAATAAAGTTAATAAGTCATTGACATTTTTTTATGTACTGGTTTTAATCAATATACCCACAGAATTTAGAACCTATTCACAGATATCTTATTGTCATATTACAACCGTAAGTAAATAAGTACTAGAATCTGGGAAAATGCTCATCCAATCTAGATTATTTGATTCATTTGCATGAATATATCCGATACTTAGATATGCTTGGTTTGAAGATCATATTCATCTCAGTAAATTTCATACCGCCTATAACAGTTAAAGTTGAATCTAATGCCTTAAAAATCATGTAGACATACATTAATGTTTAGTATCGATAAGTAGGAAATACTGATCTATTGTTTTCTAAGAATAACTCTTATGAATTTTAAACACTATCTTAAAAATTTAGTGATTGAATTCATGAGTCGATTTAAGCTAGACCACCATGTAAAGCCTGGGAGCACTAGACGGCCGTTTCATCCCAGTATAGGACTCCCTAGTAGTGCGCATCTACGATCCCGCTATCAACAGAATTCAGGACGTGCGTTTCGTCCCATTTTTTACTCGTCAACTGGATGTAACTGCATCCCAGAATTGATGTTCACTCAGGAACTCAAACCCAGTACCGTTCCCTTCAAATACCATTGCTACTGAGCCCAGATAGTCACTAGCTTGTTCAATGGGGCAATCCGCACAGGATGCACATATACCAATAAGAGACTGACCAACCGCAATCCTAAATATCAATGGGGAAATTCAAATAAATAATACAAAATGGATATTTTCAGTTTTAAAGTCTTAATTAATTAACTATTCGATGAGTGAATCAGATCACAATTTTTAATCCTAATAAAACAAGATCTATCAGTATAAACAAGCGTTAAAAATCCTCAGTCCAGTGACAAAATAAACGATTTTTAAAATACTATCATATAAATTATTTACTGTAGTTTTTCTTGTCATGTACAATTTAAATA